TCGCCAATCCTCAATCATCAACGGCAGTCATCACTCTCGCAGTCAATTTCTCGCGGTCAAGTGGGTTCTGACGGAAACCCTGAAATGAACTCACTGTTAGCTCTTGTTAACTTTATCACTGCCCTATCTAAACCCTGTCTGAGATCGAATGAGACTTACTTGTTATACTGCAATAGCGCAACATAGGTGACTAGGCCAAGTGACTATTTCTGTGACGGACGCGCAGGGACGTCTTGTTGGTCAAAATGCTTTCCCGTGACTGAGAGCTCGCCAGCCTCGTGTCCTCTCAAGGCGTTAGCTTAGGCCTACGTGACATATTTTCCGCCTAACTAATAACTCCTTGGAACACTCGTAACAAAATTCAGACTGATAAACGATCTATAATAATTTCAAATTCAATAAGAGTCCCTTAACTTCATGAATCGCATCATTATTAATTCGGCAAATTACATTTAATATCATATAGGCCAAGTTCCACAACCTGTCGCTGTGTGCAGGGAGCGCTCTCTTTCCTCAGACGACCTTGAAAACTCAGTATCGCTAATGGCGCGGCGTTTGAAATTACTCTGAAATTTCGGAATATTACAATCGACCCCCCTAAAAATAGACAGCACTGTCCTCATGTGCTGAGAAAAACATGCATGCGATCCCCCCTAAAAATTTGTTCTAAGAAACTGCATTTCACCCCTGCAACGTGCTAAAAGCAGCATTTCTGTCTTCTCTTCTCTCCTTTTCTCTCCGGCTAACACTTTTTCTTTTTCCTTGTGGTTATCAGCATATACCCGAATCACGCGCACCTACAGTGATTTATTTGCATATATATATATATATATATATATATATATATATATATATATATATATATATATATATATATATATATATATATATATATATATATATATATATATATATATATATATATATATATATATATATATATATATATATATATATATATATATATATATATATATATATATATATATATATATATATATCAGTCGTGAGCAGGACAGATCCTTGGAAAAAATTATTTATCACTGAAGATCTAAAATTTTAGGAGACTGAATGCCTCAAATCCCTATACTATATACACACACACACACACACACACACCTGACCATCCGTAGGTCAACACTTATTTGCACTACTGCGGCAGCCGCCAAGGCCCATACACCAAATCTCCCCATAACCCCTCTCCAGAACGCCAAAAGTAACAATTTCATTTCGGAAGGAAGCGGAATCAGAGTTGAACATTGGTGAATAGTGTTTTGGCAAGGGAAATAAACACTGAGAGTCATGACCACAAGTAAGGACCTAACACGTATAGATAAACACCACTGGGAAGTCCACTCTGGGAACAACCGTGACGTCATTTGAAGTCCTTCATGACAACACTTACGGACGAGTTACTGCACTACCTAGGAGTGAATTTGTTTAAGGTGGACAAGCTGTCGCCATCATCCACACCCAGTGTCCAAGAATAGTTCGAGAAGAACGGAATGCTTGCCAACTGCACTGATTGACAATTACCCCGTAACATCGATCCGCGCATCGATTAACATCCAAGTCCCCAATTACTGATGGGTAGACAGAGGTCAATTGCGTAAAGACACTTGCCCATAGTTTCACCCTGCCCTGGGATTGAGCCGGGGTCAGCTCGATTCGAGGCGAGCGTGCTGACCTACCGTTACACCACAGGTTGCCTCATGCATAAATACATACATACAAGCATAATAATAATAATTGAAGCCCCTGGAAATCGAGGATGGTCGGCCAAAGGCCTCCTAGGCGTGAATTTGTTAAGGTGTAGAAGCTGTTGCCAACACAACAACCACTCCCTAAGTTAACGAGTTGCATGTCCCAGCGTCACGGAATAGTCCAAGAAAACTGGACAGCTCGCCAACTGCACTGGCTAGCCATTACCCCGGAATACAATCCGCAAGTCGATTAACCTCCAGGTTCTCATTTACTGCTGGGTAGACAGAGGCAAATGGTAAAAATTTTTTCCATAGTTTCACCCTGCCCGAGGATCGAACTCAGGTCCGCTCGCTTGCGAGGCGAGGAAGCTGACCATTACACCACACGTCGACATACATACATACATACATATATACATGCATATATACATACATACCAAGTGACAGGGGGTGAAGAAGGTTTAGTGGATGAAAATGAGTAGTAAGAGCAGAATTGTAGTAACGTACCACCAGCGACGCAACAAGACCATACAGAGCCGCAGTTCGACCCCAGAACCAGGCTCTGCCCAGTAGAATCTCCGTCTGTAGCTCTGTAGCAGTCCTTGTGTTCTGATGGAGGGTTTAAAGGAGTATATTTTCTTGTGAGAACGTTTTGGTTATTGTGTTAAAGAGTTTTCAACATGTTTCCTCTATTTTCCTTGTGTTGATGTTCGAGGTTGAGTGTGTAGTGTTGTTCGGCTAGTGTGGATTTGAATGTGTCCCAGTCTGCGTCTTGGTATTGATATTGGGATGCAGGTGTGTGATGAGAATGGGGTTGTTGGAGAGTTGTAGTGTAATGGGTATGTGATTTAAGCCTGACAGGGGGTCCTTTGAAATGTAGTGTTGAAATTGAAGGGCTAGGCCCTAGCCGCTAGGGTGTTTGTAAAGACAATGTCTAGAGTGTTTCTGCCAAGTCCAGAGTAACATGTAGGGAAGAATGGTCCAATGTGTTGAAAGTTTTTGTGTGTGATCGGTGTGTGTTGCTGTTGACCATCGGGGTTGTTGTGTTGGAATGCTGTGTTTCTTAAGTTGAGATCAGCCATTAGTATTGCTGGAAGGTCTTTGAAAGGAACGAGTGTTTGGCCTTGTTTACGTTGTGTATACCATTATCTGTCAGTGTTTAGTGACGATCTTGGCGGCCATAAAGTATTTGAAGGTGAAATCGGTGATGAATTCGTGTTTGATGGAGGATCTGATGAAGAGTGTTACACCCTTGTGTTTTTCGCGTGTTGATTGTTTGCATATGTAGCCAAATTGCTTGATTTTTACCTTAGTATACTGTATGTTGAGCTGAGAAGGAGGATGTCCGGGTTGTGTTCTTGAAGGACACATAATGTATCTGTTTGCAAAGTATGCACTATAGTTTTATTGGATAATGGTGAACACGTTTGCGTAGGTTTTACTGTTTTTGGTAGTCCAGTTGTTCTTTTTTTTCTTTTTTTAAAGGAGTGTTTCTTTAGATCAGTGTTTCCTAATTAGGTTCTGATTGTGTCTTCGGAGTGGCCGAAACAGATTGTGATATTTTATGGGATGTGGGTGCTGGTGCAAGTGTGCAGGGGAGCTTGTGGGGGGACTTCAAGTAGTGTGTGGCATATTGTCTTTTCTGTTGGTAAATTCCAATTGTTATTTCGTGTCTTTTTTTGTCCGGGAGTTGTGAGGACGAGGTTAGTTTCCTCTTCCTTGGACGCTGGGTGTGACTGTTAGGTTTGTGATTTCTTAGGTAGCTTGTTAATAGTTTGGGTGTTGGTGGTTGCCTGAGTGAATCTCAACACCTGTAGACGAGTTACTGCACCACGTGAGGTCCTTCATGCCACCACCTATGGACGAGTTACTACACGACGTGAGGTCCTTCATGTCAACACATATGGACGAGTTACTGCAGTATTTGGCGTACGTGACCTCACACAATAGGGCAAGAAACCAATAACTGCCATAAAGTATATTTTGTATGTTCATATCATGTTCCTTCTCGTTTTAGTAATGAAATCTTTTGTTTAACGACCCACCCACCCCATGTCTTTGTTTATAATAAGTAAATTCTGTCAAATGTATATTTTCAGCCTTTGGGTTGCTGAAAATCTTCAATAAACCTCTAATTGTTGTTATTATTAATTTTATTATTATTATTATTATTATTATTATTATTATTATTATTATTATTATTATTATTATTATTATTATTATTATTATTATTATTATTATTATTATTATTATTATTATTATTATTATTATTATTATTATTATTACTATTATTATTTTATTATTATTGCCCTCATGCATATACTTTTCACCTTTAAGCACTCGTCTAGACCCATAGGCCTTTAATCTCTTTTTACACATTATAAATTATTGTGTCTTGCAATGTGAAGGCACGCATGGCTCTCATTAAGAGAAGCCTGGTCAATGTTCAGTGAACATTGTTCACTATCCAACTCTCAGGCGACCTCAAATATTTAGACATCCAGGTCTAGCTAAAATCCAGGTGAGACTAAAATGTTACTTGAAATATGGCAGATATTTAGTTTAAGATTACTTAGGCATCTGCTAATTCTACCTATTTGTTTTAATTATAAAAAGAGGTACGGTGGCCTTTGTGGAGTACTGGGTATTGTTACGTTCTAATAGGGTAAAAGTCTCTAGGAACTTGTGTTGACACTGTCCTTACGATCTTGGGTAATATGGGTTTGAAATATCAGAAACTGCTTAGATGCTTAATTAATTAATACATACTTTGTAGAAAAAAACAAAAAAATCTTATGAAATAAATAGTTTTTATGATAAAGCTGTGATTTACTATTAACATGCTGACAGCAATACGCCCTGCGTGTTTGCAGATTTTAAAAGGCATTCGGATTGTGAGGAGCCAAAGCGCGTAGTTATAACAATATCAGCGAACAGTTGTTATAACTACTCCCGGACCCTTTTTTGAAGAAGTAAATCATTTAAGTGTCAATTCGAAAGATTTTTGGAAGGATGAAGAGCTTTAATGGAAACAGCAGAGTTTCAAGGTGATAATAGCAGTCCCGGACAGAAGATGTGTTTTACAGGATAAAAAATACTCAGAATTAGGGCGCTAAATTTCTATTTCCTGGAATTTAAGATTCTATTAAATGTAATAAATATTTCCCTCAATGCATCAATTCAATTGTCAAAAATCACCCAAAGAAGCCAGACGGTAGGTATGCTTTTGTCAGAAAAAACGACCGGTGACGTGCTTGTTTTAGGATTTTTTGTTGAATGTAGTTTCTTATATTCCAGGTCATGCGAGGTTGGGTGATAGAGATGATACAGGCTTTGACATCACTTCTCTGGTTCCTCACCGTCTCCTTTGACTTGGTGATGGCACAATCCTTACGCCCGAATGGTAAGTAAATTATGAGATAACGTATTTGGAATGTTACAGTTAACCATATATATATATATATATATATATATATATATATATATATATATATATATATATATATATATATATATATATATATATATATATATATATATATATATATATATATATATATATATATATTAGCCCAATAAACACACGGACTTTTACATACAATCAACACCTCAACCCGCCAGGATTCGCACCCACGGCCCACGAGCCCATGACTGTGACCGGGGAACGCTAACCGCTGGACCACCAGGATACTAAAAGTAATCCTAGACTGTTATATTTCACACAAAACCTGTTCAACGAGCTTATGGTGCCGTGAACCTCTAATGGGGACTACCCGTATCACGTAGGTGGTCAGAGTAACGTTTTACCAAATCCGGCTTCGAAACACGAGGATCGGTATATATTTCATTAGCGTTCCCCGGTCACAGTCATGGGCTCGTGGGCCGTGGGTTCGAATCCTGGTGGGTTGAGGTGTTGATTGTATATATATATATATATATATATATATATATATATATATATATATATATATATATATATATATATATATATTGTGTTACGAACCCCTCCACCCAGCACTACGAACCACGCCATCTATTGTCCTGATCTACCTACCCAGCACCACGAGACACGAGTATGACTCGTCTTAGTTAACACTCCGGGGTTTCCCTTCTCCATATCCTGGTTGTTGCGTCACTTCCTCCAAGTCTTCTTTGTGAGCTCCAATTCGAGGAGAGAGACTTGGCTCTGGGAAGTGACCACAGGATCATCTATCCTCTAAACCTACGGACAGTGACTACCTACCGTCTTCTACAATACTCAGCCTTACTCGTCAGCCATCTCAGCTCCTCACTTAAGTACTTGTATCTTGTATTGCCTCCCCCACGTCCACTTGCTTCAAGATTGTTTTATGTTTTATTAATATGTATATACTGTTAATGTTTAGGTTAAGTTTGGTTAAGGGTAATTTATAAGCTGAATATTTTGTTAAGGGATTTATGGTACTCTATTATACACAACGAAAACTCGCATCCTTTGTCTACCCTTTTATAGTCCGATTGTCTTTGTTTTTTTTTTTTGTTACCTGTTGGGATCTGGGTAGACTGTTAACTATATTTTAAATCCCCAACTCGTAACAAATGGCGACCGTGACAGGATACGACCTTAAGTACCATATTCCTTCCTCCCTTGTTACTCAGTGTTAATTATTCCTCCCAGTCACTTCTGTTCACAATTGCTTTACGGTGGTTTAAAGTTTCCTTCATATGTGTGTTCATATTTTGGTATTACCGGACAGTAAGAGTGACAGCCGTAGGATATTTGGTTCCAAGTGTCATAAGGCTTACTTGTTATTCCACGTGGCAGTCGTGTAGTAAGTCTTATAGAGTGTAGGGAAGAATCCGGATCTGTTTAATGCCGTACCCTCGCTCCAGAGTAGGCTGTTCCATAGTCACTAGTTTAGGGTGAAGTGATATCTTGGGACGCCCCGCTCTACCAGGACCCCATAATTATAAAGCCTCAATTATTGTTCTTCTCATTATCTCATTCAGGGTAAATCATACCATTTTCCAGGGTTGTTAATCCGGATCTTTATATAAATGCCGTAATACGCCCTTCCTCTTTAAAGTATCTCAGGGTTGTTAATCCGGATCTTCATATTAACGCCGTAATACGCCCTTCCTCTTTAAAGTATCTCGGGGTTGTTAATCCGGATCTTTATATAAAACGCCGTAATACGCCCTTCCTCTTTAAAGTATCTCGGGGTTGTTAATCCGGATCTTTATATAAAATGCCGTAATACGGCCTTCCTCTTTCAAGTATATCAGGGTTGTTAATCCGGATCTTTATATTAATGCCGTAATACGCCCTTTCCCTTTCAAGTCTCTTATCCTTATCTAAGGATCTTCTCAGAAGAACAATAATCATAAGTGTAATTTCCCTAGGTAGTTTCCGGGACTTTCTGGTTATCCACTGCCGTGATATTTTCTAGGGTAATCCACGTATCTTATCTTTTGACCATTAATTAATTTATCTAGGTTTTCTTAATGGCCACCTCAGGATTTGTTAAACTTGGTAGTCCTGGAGGAGTGGAAGAACAAGATACCATTTCACATCTTGAAGCATGTGGAGGATCGTGGAGAGGTTAATTTAGGACGTGCGGCTGAGCTGGCTGATGAGTACGCCTTGCTGGTGGTGTCACGGTCGCCATTTGTTACGAGTTGGGGATTTAGAATATGGTTACACGTCTACCCAGATCCCAACAGGTAACAAAAAAAAAAAACAAAGACAATCGGACTATAAAAGGGTAGACAAAGGATGCGAGTTTTCGTTGTGTATAATAGAGTACCATAAATCCCTTAACAAAATATTCAGCTTATAAATTACCCTTAACCAAACTTAACCTAAACATTAACAGTATATACATATTAATAAAACATAAAACAATCTTGAAGCAAGTGGACGTGGGGGAGGCAATACAAGATACAAGTACTTAAGTGAGGAGCTGAGATGGCTGACGAGTAAGGCTGAGTATTGTAGAAGACGGTAGGTAGTCACTGTCCGTAGGTTTAGAGGATAGATGATCCTGTGGTCACTTCCCAGAGCCAAGTCTCTCTCCTCGAATTGGAGCTCACAAAGAAGACTTGGAGGAAGTGACGCAACAACCAGGATATGGAGAAGGGAAACCCCGGAGTGTTAACTAAGACGAGTCATACTCGTGTCTCGTCCCTAGATGGCGTTGCTCGTGGTGCTGGGTAGGTAGATCAGGACAATAGATGGCGTGGTTCGTAGTGCTGGGTGGAGGGGTTCGTAACAATATATATATATATATATATATATATATATATATATATATATATATATATATATATATATATATATATATATATATATATATATATATACTGATAACCACAAGGAAAGAAGAAAACACGAAGTTCCCAAGCGCTGTGTAATTCACATCTTCAGGGGTGAGTACAGACTAGCTATCAGAATATACCTAGATCACGCGCACCTACAGTGATTTTTGCATATATATATATATTTATATATATATATATATATATATATATATATATATATATAGATAGATAGATAGATAGATAGATAGATAGATAGATATATAGATAGATAGATATATATATATATATATATATATATATATATATATATATATATATATATATATATATATATATATATATATATATATATATATATATATATATATATGTGTGTGTGTGTGTGTGTGTGTGTGTGTGTGTGTGTGCTATGTGTGCCGTTGTGTTGTGTTGAGTAAGCTGGAACTGGAAATGGAGCAGTAGCGGAGAGAGAGGGACATATTGAAGGGGGAGAACGAAGCCCTCAGGACTAAACTCCTTCAGTGCTAGGACACCTACGAAGGCGGGTCAGGAGGAGCAGGAGTGGAGAGTGGTTGTGTCCAAGGGCATTAGGGTCAGATTCAGGAAAGCTGACCAGGGTTTTGAGTGCCGTAACCACTATAAAGTTTTGGAGGAAGCTGGCGATTAGTAGAAGAGGCAGGACGGTCTGGTGGCAGGAGAGGAAAGGGCAGTTAGTCAAACATTGCCCAGTGGTAAGGTCGTGGTAGTTGTGGACAGCCAGGTGAGGTTCTTAGATGGGACTTATTGAGAAAGAGTTAGGAAACGTAGGACTAGGGTGTGTTTTCCTGGGGCTAGAATAGGGCATGTAGAGGAGAGGATGGATAGGGTCTTGTCAGGGGAGGGTACCAAGCCAGTAGTGTGTCTTAGTGTAGGAGGCAACGACATAGGAAAGGTTAGGGAGTGAGGAACTTTTCATTGTGCAAGCAATCGTTGGGCGTTCATTGATAAATGGCGACGATTCTATGACAACGACTACCTGTACAGTCGTGACGGGGTACACTTGTCTCGCGCTGTGGTAAAGACGTTGTCCGCATCCCTAGAGCGTGAAATTATCACTCCGAGGGGGGGGGTGCCATTAGAAATATCAGGGTAAGTGGGGGTCAAAACACAAGCAGGTCCTGGGGAGTAGAATTGGTTACTCAGAACAAGGGGTAAAACAGGAACAAGGAAGGGTTGGTTTAAATGTATACTATAGAAACAATAGGAGCGTTAAAATTAAAATAGACTTGCTGAGAGTGGTTGTATATACCGAGAATGTAGACGAGGGGAAAGTTCTAAATTAGATAAAATCATGGCTCACCGAACCGATAGAACGCAGAGGGTCAGCGTAGATGGTGTTAAATCTGAGTGGGGCCGTGTAACCAGTGGGGTTCCCCAGGCGTCAGTACTAGGCCCACTATTGTTCATAATCTACATAAACGATTTAGATACTGGGATCAGCAGTGACAGAAGCAAGTTTGCGGATGACACCAAAATAGGGCGGCAGATAAATTCAGGGCAGGATGCAAATGCATTACAGGAGGATCTAAATAAAATGCAGGGGTGGTCTGAAAAATGGCAAATGAAATTCAACACCAGCAAGTGCAGCGTACTTAATATTGGAAGAACAAATACTGTCAATGTATACAGCCTTAAAAACATAAACCTAGAGAAGTCGACTTGTGAAAGAAACCCAAGAATTCGTTAATGTTCAAATTAAGGCAAAAAAAGTATTTTTTTTTTCTAGAAGTGTAAGTAATAAGAGTGTGGAGGTCATATTGCAATTATACATTGCGCTTGTTGGGCCGCACCTCCATTATGCGGTTCATGGTTGGTGCCCTCATTATAGAATGAATATAAACTCACTGGATTCGGTGCAGCAAAGAATGACGAAAATTATTCCGAGACTTAGAAGCCTTCCCTATCGAGATATATTACAGAAACTAAACTTGCATTCCCTAGAAAGACGAAGAGCGCGGAGAGATATAATAGAAGTATTTAAGTTCGTTAAAGGATATCAATAAAGGAGATATAGAGAAAGTTTTTTTATAATATCCGAGCAGGATAGGACTCAGCAAAAGATTTAAGTTGGATAAGTTTAGGTTTAGGAGGGAGATAAGAAGAAACTGGTTCACAAATAGGGTGGTAGATGAGTGAACAAGTTTAGCAACTTTATAGTAAGTGCTGGGACGTTTGAAAGTGTTAAATGGAGGCAAGATAGATTCATGGACGATAGAGGTGTTGTAACTCCCGACAGGAGCTGCCTTGCACAGACTAAACGGCCTATTGCAGACTCCTTAGTTTCTTATGTTCTTATGTTCTTTCAACACAAGTAAACACAAATATGCTATTATCAAAACAGATGTACACAACTATGCAGTTATCAAAACACCAGAAAATTACCTCACTATTCTTATTTTAAACATGTTTATTTAAATACACTTCTTATATACAACAACACGAAAACCTGATAGAAATGGCAACTCGGGTAGCATGTCTACGTTGTGTTGGCCAACCACAAGGAACCAAGGATTACTATCGTAGTCCACTGCCATCAAACCATCACACCACCACCTGCAGTAATCCTTAATACAATTGTTCCTCTACACCCCGGGTGAAGAGGAACACAGTGGAACGCAGAGAAGAGACTGTATACCAGACAGACACACTTGCCTCTATACCTCGGTCTCATAGTCTGATGGGAAACTGGTTCTGAATGGGTGCTCACTGGGGTCGAATAGCTTCGTGAAGCAGTTTCTTTTCCTGGTGTCAATTTGGAGCATTTTGTAAAATTACTATTCTTTTGGTTTCCTAGAAAATTGACCGGATAATTTGCAAAAACACCTATTGATTCCTAGATAGCTACTTGGATTGGGAATAGACGCATTGACTGTCAGAATTTGTTTGTAAGATGGCAGGTCAATGGGTAAAGAAAACGCTTAAATTCACAATGGTAATGATATTTTTAAATAAATTGGGCCAAAAAGTGTAAAAAAAATAAGGGTTAAAGTTGCTAAAAAGTCACGTGACTGCGAAAATCTCTGTGATTGATTGTGACGTCACTGGTTGGTGCAAGCTTCCCAGCTGGAGGCAGCCAGCTTAGTTGTCCAACTTTATCGGCTGATCGGTTCAGTAAATAAATATTTAGATAATTAATTGTGCATTACTGTACAACACTGTAATACCATATTGGATATATAAATATTACTAAGCACATAAACTAATTCAGTGGATATTAGCGGCCCATACAACAAATTTCCTATTATAAACATTTCAAACAATATTGGTATTATTTTGGTTTTGGTCATATGAGGAACCTTAAGATTCTAACTATAGGATTAAGTACTTTAAACAATAAGACACATTATCTCAACAGGATTTCTGTCGCAAAATATTTTTCGATGGCAAAACTAAAATACAGATCATAAGTTAGGTTAGGAGGGTATGATGAGTTATAAGGTTATCTTAACATACATCAGTAAAGGGGGGTGGGGGGGTAGTAACTCAAAACTCATCGCAAACCATCCGAAAAAAAAAAAGTCTGCATGTCTAAGTACAGGGATGATAATAACTTAAAATTGACCCAATATAGCCTATCTCGAATCTAAACATCAAAATATCGATGGTAGTTAAAGTAAAATTTTACCCTTAAATTAATATAAATGATGTTATATCCCAGTGGTTCATTAGTGAAACATTAAAACAATAGCAGCACTATGTTGTCATGTCACCTAGCACCAGGCATTCTCAAAACAAAGTCCAGACAATGTAATTTCTTTTAAATTTACTCGTATCTCCATCTAGTTCTGATACATTCTGTTGCACTGAAAAAAGAGATTCTACTAGGTAAGAGTACATGACAGCTGAGCTGATGTGAACATGGGAGTTATTTATGTCCAAAAGAACATAAGAATGGAGGAAACTGCAGCTGGCGTTTTGCCCCATACTGGGCAGTCCCATTTACACCCAACCCCTATGGCTCATATATCCATCCGACCTATGTTTGAAGCTGCTCTTCACGGCACATTTCTTCACTTACGAAATGTCCATGATTTAGACCATAAAAACCCAACCCTTAAAACTTACCTGAACGTGGCATTTGGGGTCTGAAGAGGCCATCCCTTCTACTACCTTCGACTGCAACAATGAGTTTGAAACTAGTGACGCCATTGCAAATGGCGGCCCTGTTTCTAGTAAAATGAACTTATTGTAAAGGCCTGGCCTGTAGGCTATAAATCCCTTGCCAGCCTAATCAGGATCTTATAAAAAGGAAAGTCAAGAACCATGGGTTACCAAGGAGTAACAAACAATCATTAGAAATTTACATCTCTTTACTAAGAAAATTAAAACAATAATTTAACTGTGACACCACTCACACAAATATTAAATCAAAACAGCACTGGAGTCAAACAATTACTTAAAACAAAACAATCAATACAACAAAGTACAGGTATTTAATACGGCTGCAGATGAATCTTCCTCCTAACCACCACGGTGGAATGTTCTTGTAACTCGGTGATCCGCTCTCAGGGGGAAGGTCCAGGGCAGCTTCCTCACTTGGCGCCGGCATTGGTGGGAGATGTCATGCCACACAGGAGAGACGCCAAAGCACGGACGGTAGATCAGTCGTGGAGGAAGTGGCGATCATGTGGCAGTCACGGCAGTAGCTGGAGTAGGTGACCCGAGTTGACAGCCGAATAGTGAAAGACTGGGGAATCAGCCCACGAGCCCCAGGAACCTCACATGAGTACACAAACAGAGTTGGAATCGAACAACAGGGTGAAAAAACAGCTGTGATGAAGGCTGGATGGTGTCTGGCGTACGAGGAGGCAGCAGCCACCTTCTCACCTCTGTCCATCCCCCTAGTAGGGCCGCGAACAAGCAAACGAGCGGAGGACAACCATCCCTCTTGTTACAGCCCTTACACTTATCTCGACTATTATAGCAGGAATTTAAACTTTCATTACAAATTATATATACCGTATCACTCTACGAACGCGGCAGAGTGTATTTCTTGTGTGTACCCAGAACCGTCAACTCGTCCATTAAGGTATGTTATAGTATTTCTTTTATCAAGTTTGGCAGATTTTTTCTGGTGCATCATGACATGTATGAAAAGTGCATTGTGCAGTGTTATTGTTTTCGTTATCAAGATTACAAAGCCTTATTATTTTAATAAAAGTTTCCCAAAACAATTAACGAACATTATGTCAGATGAGTGAAAGGAATTCTAGTTTATCATTATTTGACCAGAAGCAAAATATTTAAACTCATTTTCTGGGTGGTGTACCGTAATTTTTCTGGTCTTTATTTTCATATTTACCTGAAAGCTTCGTCTTAACACTCCCGTAAGCTAAGATAAATTGACTTTATGCTTTTGTCTGTAACGAAAATATCACTTGTAGCGTCCAATCCAGCATCTCACAGGAACCGAGGAATGAGTCCTTGGTTGAAGTTTGCAGCGCATTGATGGAAGGTATCGGCGCTCAGGCTCTTCACGCACTGACGTACCCTCAGTGTGTTTGTGTGTGTGTGTGTGTGTGTGTGTGTGTGTGTGTGTGTGTGTGTTTAAAGAAATATAATTTATTCAAAGTTCTGCACCTATCAGCTGCCCAGGACACACTCACAACAGCGGGAGAGGCGGTGGAATCTGTATTGATAACAGTGTCACAACCACACTGCTCAGTCTTCCTCTTCACTGACGGCAACACTTTCACCTCCACTATCTTTACGGTGAGCTCAAAATAAGATCTACCCAAGGCGTGATAATCCACTTGAAAATGATTTATTTATCCACGAGAATTTAAATATATATTTTTTTACAATGTTACAGGAGTTAAGTCACTTCCAGGCCCTTGGTGGCATGGTGGTGTTCGAGGTACTTATGAACGACAGGGATTCCAACAAGACAACAATTCAGCTCTCCAGAATGGTTACGGAGGCTCGTGAGGTATGTGGTACTATCATTACAGTCGATGTGAATAGAGCTGAATAAACTAACAACATTTAAATTGTATCTGATGGTTCACCCTTAATGAACGGTTAGGTCACTCTCACATTACTACTGAAGCGGGTAGGTCACTCTCACATTACTCCTGAGGTGGGTAGGTCACTCTCACATTACTACTGAAGCGGGTAGGTCACTCTCACATTACTCCTGAGGTGGGTAGGTCACTCTCACATTACTACTGAAGCGTGTAGGTCACTCTGACATAACTACTGAAGCGGGTAGGTTACTCACATTACTACTGGGGTGGGTAGGTCACTCTCACATTACTACTGAAGCGGGTAGGTCACTCTCACCTTATTACTGAGGCGGTTAGGTCATTCTCTCGTTACTAGTGAGGCGGTTAGGTCACTCTCACATTACTACTGAAGCGGGTAGGTCACTCTCAAATTACTATTGAAGCGGGTAGGTCACTCTCACATTACTACTGAAGCGGGTAGGTCACTCTCACCTTATGACTGAGGCCGTAAAGGCACTCTCACATTACTACTGAGGCGGTTAGGTCACTCTCATATCACTACTGAAGCAGGTGGGTCACACTCACATTACTACTGAAGCGGATAGGTCACTCTCACAATACTACTGAGGCGGGAAGGTCACTTTCCCATTACTACTGAGGCGGGTAGGTCACTTTCCCATTACTACTGAGGCGGGTAGGTCACTTTCCCATTACTACTGAGGCGGGTAGGTCACTTTCCCATTACTACTGAGGCGGGTAAGTCATTTTCCCATTACTACTGAGGGTAGATTACTCTCACAATACTTCTACCATATTGACCTCACCAGCTGCGACAGGTGTCATGGTGCGTGACGATGGTGGTGGTGAGCGACGACCCAGTCTTCCTCGCCGCCTTCGCCGAGTGGTCCATCCAGGGTCGCCTCCTGGTGTGGTCGACAAGGCTCCTCGTCGTCACCCGCCTGCCCCTCCCGGAGCTCCACCACCTTCACAAGTTACTGTCCATGACCAATTCCATGTTGCTCGTTGTGGACGACACCAAATCCCATAGGTAGTTTTTTTTGGGGGGCCGTCTTTATCCAGTGTGATTAATTGATCATTCTTAGATTACCTGTGTCTCGAAACTAGATATTATTGACGATTAAATGAATTAAGAAAATGGTCGAAGAAATGACTTAACACGGATACCAAAAATTTACAGGCATGTGCTGTATACGCATGTGCCCTACAGTCAAGAGGATATATCGATCATTCAGCTTGCCTTTTGGAACGGACGAAGGGGCCTGATTCTTAGTACAAGTTTGTCGTTGTTTCCTGAGAAATTTTTAAAGTAAGTATTATGTAGTATTACGATTACTGATACATTTAGTACTCACTTATGGTCTGCACTATAATCTATCAGCGGATGTATGGGGCATTATGACCTACACCGGCCTTAGTCATTCTGAATCAAAATGAAGGATAGAAAAAAACATGTTGAAGCGATTATCATTGAGGAAGTTATGTGTGAGCTACCCTGATGGATGAATAAATATGTTAGTTCGGCATAGATTCATGTTATCAAATATTCATAAAGTATTTTTGCATAAGTTTTTGTCTTTGTTGATTTAACTCAGGCAATTGTACTGTATAAACCATGTTACAAATTATTAAGAAAATGTAATTGCGCATTTTATATGAGTTTTGAAACATGTAACGTAGGGAATATGCAAATAAAATCTACATCTGATTAATGCAAAAAAAAACAAGCTGGTTCAAATAAGGTAATTTAATTCAAATTATCACTAAATTGTATATAACTGATATGCTAGTTATAAATTTTTACTCAGGAAAATTTAGCAAACTTTGTTTTTTGTCAGATTTATTCACAGACCAACGCTTACGGTGGCGATGGTGAGAAGTGTGCTTCACCAGCCAGTGCTGAAGGACGATGCAGAAGCACCCGGGGGAAAGAAGCTTTACTTTACAGGGCCACTTGCCTCGATGCTGGAATATATCGCCACTTCTTTAAATATGTCGTACGTTGATTTACATGGTAGTCTAAATACTATACAGATTATTATCATGTTAGTACCAAGATCATTTTTCATGGAAGGGAAGCAGTACTACAACCAAAGCCGTGTCATGACAGGCACACAAGGCACTGTGCCTTGGGTCTACGAAAGTTAGGGAATCTAATGAAGTAATTTAAATACTTATATTTAAATACTTTGAACCTAATATATCATTTACACATTTGCTAGTTTTCAAGAGCAGAATGGTACCTTCGTTTTGATTATTTTCTCATTATTTGAAGATTAATGATCTCTACATTCTCCTTAGCGCGTGACGTTGAATTGTTTTTGTTCAGATTATTTAATTTACCCTATCCGATCATTGCCCTGTTGCTTTTGTTTTAGTTTGAAATTTTTATTTTCCTGTAATTTCATTACGATTTTTTTTAAATGAGTTGTTGTGATTCGTCATACAGCATTAGCTCGGGATCTGATAGTTCAGCAGCTTTGATGGTTTGGCACGATTTGAATGTGGTTTTAGTTTGTGAAACTGCCGCTGTCCAGTGCGGCGCCGTCCACTGTAGTCCGTGATATTCAACAACATTTATTACAATGTTGGTACTTTTAGATTATCTTCATTTACTGTATGTACTTGAAGACAGTTCGAGCTTTTATGATCAAATTTTTATGCAAAAAGTGGGGGATAGAACTACAGTATATACGTATAGTATTTATGAGCGGTTAAAATTCATACATTTATGTGGGTCATTTACGGTGAAAGATAGTTACCCGGCACGGCGGCACATACTCCCGGTAGACTAACCTTACCAGTAAGCTCTTTTATCCTGGGCTTGCCTCCCATATCTCTAGATTCGTTTTTTATATTGCTACATAAAGAACATAACTTCATTCACTATATATGCCGCTTAAATCTACAAATACCTGATACAAACAGACAATTTTCCTTTAATTTCCATCTATTAACATTCCCTAGCCCTCTTGTTACCAGGCCAAGCTGTGAGGTGTTATGATTATTTTTCAACTAGTAATTTTGGCTAAATATTTGTGACTTTCTTCATTTTATTTTAGTCGTTTAGTTTACATACATATTGTGAAGCAAAGTTAAAAAAGTAATTATCATAGGGTCAAAAACGTGAGTTAGCAGGTTGAGCTTGGGGAGCTGGAGCAGGAACTTGAGTTTGAGAGGGGCTTTCCTGGAGTAGTTGGGGGTGTTGCTAGGGAGTCGGCAGAGGCAGCGTTCCAGCTGGACTGTATTGCTATGGCAACTGTTAAGGTCTAGCAGCCAGCTTCTATGCAAATAGCAGCTGTATTAAACTTTCATTTAGCATTACCTTAGTGGTTTTAGCTCATTTTTGTTCATATAGATAGTATAAAAATGTTGTTTGAAGTAGCACAATTGTTAAATTACATATGGAAGGTGAGTGGCATGGTTTATAAGTGTTTGGAAGTAGGCACTATAAGGAAGGTGAGTGACATGGTTTATGAGTGTTGGGATATAGGTACTATAAGGAAGGTGAGTGGCATGATTTATGAATGTTGGGATATAGGTACTATAAGGAAGGTGAGTGGCATGGTTTATGAGTGTTAGGATATAGGTAATATAAGGAAGGTGAGTGGCATGGTTTATGAGTGTTGGGATATAGGTACTATAAGGAAGGTGAGTGGCATGGTTTATGAGTGTTGGGATATAGGTACTATAAGGAAGGTGAGTGGCATGGTTTATGAGTGTTGGGATATAGGTACTATAAGGAAGGTGAGTGGCATGGTTTATGAGTGTTGGGATATAGGTACTATAAGGAAGGTGAGTGGCATGGTTTATGAGTGTTGGGATATAGGTACTATAAGGAAGGTGAGTGGCATGGTTTATGAGTGTTGGGATATAGGTAATATAAGGAAGGTGAGTGGCATGGTTTATGAGTGTTGGGATATAGGTACTATAAGGAAGGTGAGTGGCATGGTTTATGAGTGTTGGGATATAGGTACTATAAGGAAGGTGAGTGGCATGGTTTATGAGTGTTGGGATATAGGTACTATAAGGAAGGTGAGTGGCATGATTTATGAATGTTGGGATATAGGTACTATAAGGAAGGTGAGTGGCATGGTTTATGAGTGTTGGGATATAGGTACTATAAGGAAGGTGAGTGGCATGGTTTATGAGTGTTGGGATATAGGTACTATAAGGAAGGTGAGTGGCATGGTTTATGAATGTTGGGATATAGGTACTATAAGGAAGGTGAGTGGCATGGTTTATGAGTGTTGGGATATAGGTACTATAAGGAAGGTGAGTGGCATGGTTTATGAGTGTTGGGATATAGGTACTATAAGGAAGGTGAGTGGCATGGTTTATGAGTGTTGGGAGGTAATATAATGGTGTTGGGATATAGGTAATATAAGGAAGGTGAGTGGCATGGTTTATGAGTGTTGGGATATAGGTACTATAAGGAAGGTGAGTGGCATGGTTTATGAGTGTTGGGATATAGGTACTATAAGGAAGGTGAGTGGCATGATTTATGAATGTTGGGATATAGGTACTATAAGGAAGGTGAGTGGCATGGTTTATGAGTGTTGGGATATAGGTACTATAAGGAAGGTGAGTGGCATGGTTTATGAGTGTTGGGATATAGGTACTATAAGGAAGGTGAGTGGCATGATTTATGAATGTTGGGATATAGGTACTATAAGGAAGGTGAGTGGCATGGTTTATGAGTGTTGGGATATAGGTACTATAAGGAAGGTGAGTGGCATGGTTTATGAGTGTTGGGATATAGGTACTATAAGGAAGGTGAGTGGCATGGTTTAGAGTGTTGGGATATAGGTAATATAAGGAAGGTGAGTGGCATGGTTTATGAGGTACTATAAGGAAGGTGAGTGGTTTATGAGTGTTGGGATATAGGTACTATAAGGAAGGTGAGTGGCATGGTTTATGAGTGTTGGGATATAGGTACTATAAGGAAGGTGAGTGGCATGGTTTATGAGTGTTGGGATATAGGTACTATAAGGAAGGTGAGTGGCATGATTTATGAATGTTGGGATATAGGTACTATAAGGAAGGTGAGTGGCATGGTTTATGAGTGTTAGGATATAGGTACATATAAGGAAGGTGGTGGCATGGTTTATGAGTGTTGGGATATAGGTACTATAAGGAAGGTGAGTGGCATGGTTTATGAGTGTTGGGATATAGGTACTATAAGGAAGGTGAGTGGCATGGTTTATGAGTGTTGGGATATAGGTACTATAAGGAAGGTGAGTGGCATGGTTTATGAGTGTTGGGATATAGGTACTATAAGGAAGGTGAGTGGCATGGTTTATGAGTGTTGGGATACTATAAGGAAGGTGAGTGGCATGGTTTATGAGTGTTGGGATATAGGTACTATAAGGAAGGTGAGTGGCATGGTTTATGAGTGTTAGGATATAGATAATATAAGGAAGGTGAGTGGCATGGTTTATGAGTGTTGGGATATAGGTACTATAAGGAAGGTGAGTGGCATGGTTTATGAGTGTTGGGATATAGATAATATAAGGAAGGTGAGTGGCATGGTTTATGAGTGTTGGGATATAGGTACTATAAGGAAGGTGAGTGGCATGGTTTATGAGTGTTGGGATATAGGTACTATAAGGAAGGTGAGTGGCATGGTTTATGAGTGTTGGGATATAGGTACTGGGAGTTATGAGTTTAGTTCAGCCTTTTGACTTCTCTGGATGTTTTTTCTGTATTATATAATAGTTTTGTATTTATAATAGCAACACATGATTCGTTATTAGACTCATTCCCCGAGCCACCTTGTTACCACTCTAGGCCAATTTGTTAGCTATGTTATTGTTAGTTTCAACTCGTAATTTCGGGTAGATATACATAATTGTCTTCATTTATTTTACTTTGTTACATGAACACACAGATTTATGTAAAGAATGTGCAAAATGAATAATTATCATGAGGTAAAAAAAAGTAAAAGGGAATAAACTTTCTTTGTGTGTTAAGAGTTTCATGCTGACCGAGGGAGGGGCGAGTCAGGGATCTCGGCTGTTCTGAACTGTCTGTGATGGGTAGTGAGAGATTGACAAATTTCATCGCTCAGCATCAAATGGCAATGCAGTATTTTTTGGGATTATTTTATTTATTGGTATTGTTTTATCTATTTCTTGCATGATAATAATTTACTGGTATGTATTATTCTAACCTCATAGGAGTTGGTAACTTTATTTGCTTAGAATTTACCCCAAAATATATCTTGGTAAGTTATATCAGTACAATATACACATTATTTTATAGTTTTATTTATTTTTTAACCTGAGGTTCGGTGGTTCGGTGGTTTGGAATTTTCAATAGTCCAGCTTCGGTCTGGTCCCAATTTTCTTCTGATCATCTTCTCATATTAGATTGATTTTGTTCGATTCTTAACACAAGGTTCCCCCTGTGTGTCCTAACAAATGTTACATTGTGCCTACGATATGTAAGTGTCGAGGTCCTATGATCCATTAATCCAACCCTCACCACAATGCAGTTCCTTTTTTTTATATCCCATGACTCTTGCCCGTAATCATAGCTGGTTTTACAATATTGTACTAAGTGTTTTTATCTTAAGTTTCATAATTCCGATTAGTATGTGTGGATGTTATTTACAATGAAAAGACTTTCGGGTAGAAAGTTTATGTTTAAGGGATGGCAAATATATTCAGAAGACAAAACCTGAAGTAAACTCTCTATAACATTTTGATAACGAAATAAACTAATCCAGTTGGTCTGATATATAATGCCTGTGTGTATCTCGTCTTCATATCGAGAAACTTTCACTCTACAGTACACGGAACCGTAGGGCTTAGAAAACATCGATAAGAGTTTCATAATAGCTTAACTATTCTAAATGTCAATCATCGCCACCGATTATAATCGGTGAGGGATATTCTTCCACTGTTAACTAAGGATGTCTCAGAGTTTTTCTGTATTGATAGTCATAAATTTGCACCACTAATTTATGATTTGTAATAATATTAAAATATAAAAAACTTTCAATACAAAAAAAATGAGGCACACATTATTGCCTTTTCCAAGGTACACATTCGTCGAACCTTCTGACTTATCCTATGGAATAAAGAAAGCCGATGGAACCTGGTCGGGAATGGTGGGGATGGTGACAAGAAAGGTGAGGACCAAGA